CTGATGTTGAGAGGGGTCATTCTGCCGGAGCAAATCCAATCTAGACTCTCTGGGGATCGTCTGTTAGAGATGTAGCATGGTGGGGTGGTTAAAGCATGGGCAGGGGAACCTTTGGCCCATGAAGTATGTGTCACAGTTGGACTATAATTTCTTTCCATCTTTACCCCTGGGCACAGTGACTAGTGATTATTGAAATTGGCCTCCAAATCTCTCCCTCTGCCTCTCAAATTTTTCAGCGAATGCTGCTTGGAGGCCTATGAGGCGCTCTTTTCACTACTTGCTGTTGAACTAGACCCTTGTGTGCGAGTCCCGGCAAAGGAAGTAGACACACCTAGTGCAGGTGAGTTTCTGTGGCTTTCTTGCATGCACACCAGAGTTTGGGAAGGTTATCTTTTGGGGGACTACAGTCCCCAGAATCTTCTATTGTTTTAGTGCTGATGTTTCTCCTCAGCTCTTCCTCCTCCTGCTCCTCCTCACTCTCCAACATTTCACAGCTAAAACCAGGACACGTGTTTGGCTGAGCGTGCTCAAGATGGCAAAACTTATTAATGAGGAAGAAGAGGCAAGCTAGGAGAATCTGCAGCAGTTTGCTTTTGCCTGAGCTGACTGGGAAGGGCAAAATTCTGCCCCTTTCCTCTCCTCCCACTGAGTTAACTGAGTTCAAACTACATTTGCTCTTTGAACTCAGTTTGCAGCATTTGAAGAAGAGGAGAAAGGAGGGAAAGTCTGAGGAGGCAAGAGAAACCAGGACTTTGTAAAATCAGCTGAAAACAATGGGATGGAAGATAATTAATTGAGTCTCTCCTGCCAGATCATTTGAGGAGCATATGCTGACTTAAATGCTTATCTTTTGCTTCCCTTAGGAAAACCTAATGACTTTCCCCACCCAATGAGACGGGCCATGATGGAGAAAGTTCACCGTTCTTTGCAACGGCATAACACAGATGGTGAGATGCCTGGCGGATGCAACATCCACTCTGAACAGAGGTACAAAATTAAAAAATCCACAGCATTGAATGTGGGGACTGTATATGGCAGGAGTGAAATAGGAGAAAGGGTGGCATCAGGATGAAGAGTTGAGCATGGAGGCCAATTCTGAGTAGCTCGACTAATATCCTTCTGGAACTGGACACAGGATTACAGATAAGATTTGACCTAAGCAGAATAGAATGGCACTACTATTTCCCTTGATCTGGATGTTATTCTCCTATTGATGGGGCCCAGAATTATATTGGCCTTTTCTGCTATTGCATCACACTGTTGACTCAAGTATGGTCTGCTAAGACCCCAAGATCCTTTTAACTTGTCCTGCTTCCATGCCAGGGGACACCCATCCTATATTTGCGCATTTCATTTTGTCTGCCCTGTCATTTATCTAGAACACTGCAGCGGGTGGAAGGACTTTCTTTAAAAATAGACTAGGACTGCAGAAACATGACTTGGATATTTTTATTTAAAAATCTGAGAATCACATCAACAAATACCACAGCCTTCGACACATTTATAGCCCAGAGTCAGACACTGGAAAGCCATTTTGAGATGAAATCTTCCATCGATGTTCATCCTTGATAATCCCATCCTCTTTTCAGTCCCGTGCAGCCTGGTGAGATGGCAGAGGGGAATGAAAGAAACGTTTTGCGAGACTACATCCGACACTTGAGAATGGAGCAGGCCTCACTGAAGCTTCCTGCCCACCGCCTGCCTCCCGGGCCAGGCTCTGTGGCAGCTGAGATCAACTCAGGGATCAAGGCCAAAGTGACAAAAGTACGGAAGGCCCTGCATGATGCCCTTCCTTCCGAAACAGCACCACCCAAGATGGAGAAGGCTCAGTTGCTGTGGGAGTTGCAGGTGGCCAGGGTGAGTGGTATTTGGAGATGGGAAAGGATGGGGAAGGGCTGCAGCCTACTGCTAGGAGCAAGAACTATCACAAAAAGTGGCTCTCATAATCATTTTCATACCCTTCAACTGTCCCGGTTTGCATAGACAATCCCAATTAATCCTTCTGCTTCCCACTTCCTCAGCTGCTTTTAAAGTGTCTTGGTTTCTCCCTCCCACTGTTGTTTGTCCTCCGCTTACTTCAGTTGCTGTAAAGTGAGTTCAGACTATTTTTTTGCAGCAACTGAAGTAAGCTGAGGACTAAGGATGAAAGTGGGAGGAGGAAAGAGGAGGACATTTTGAAAGCAGCTGAGAAAATGGAATGACAGAGGATTAATCAGGAGCATCCTTGTCCATCGTGGAAAGCTGTAGGGTATGGTAGTGTGAAAGGAACATTCATTTCAGGTTTCAGCTTTTGGTGTTCTGACCCAAGTTCTCCATCTTTCCATCATGGCAGGAGGCCTTGACAGACTTAAACGCCAGGTTGCCTCTGGCAGAAAAGGAGAAACAGCGGCTGGAGCTCCAAACATACACTTATCGAGCTCAAGAGGCCGCTTGCCAGCTGATGATACAGATCCTGAAAGCAGAACGTGGCGAGCTTTGCGGGGAGCAATCCATCTCTTCTGGAGAAAGCAGTAGTAGCAGCAGTGACTCAGAGGTAGGGTTGCCAGACCTCAGGGCCTGGGTCTGAGTCTCCAATTGTAGAGGGGTCATTTGTACGCCTTAAGCAGCTCTGTGGATTGTGAGCACAGAGTAACCTCAGGTGCTGTCTGAGGACTCTTTCTCTCTTTTTTAATCTCTTTCTTTCTCTTCTCCTCTTCATGTAGGAGTACAGACTAGTCACCGGTTCCAGAAGGCTGGTGTCCAGTATATCGGAGGCTCCCAGTGGAAAGGGGGCAGATCCAGACCCAGAAGCACAGAGGCTGGAGCTTCGTGATACTTTGGTTCGGTGAGTAGAACACAGTGGTGGCATGACTCAGTTTTGCACAGGTCTGGGATGGAATACCATATTTCCTCTAACAATTGTGCTGCTTTAACCAGCTGGGGGAAGAGAACCTTTCTTCATAGAAACATATTATCTTCTCTACAGAAAAAGTGGTTTCCAGTGCAGAAACTTCTGTAACTGGGAATGTATTCTTTCCTCTCTCTTTCTCTCTCTTCCATCCAACAAAAAGTTATTTTTTTTCAAGTTCTGAAACTACCCTCAGACAAGCTGTCCCATTGCTTACTTCTTTGGGGTTCCTTCCAGGAACAGAGAATTGAAAGACCAGATCTGTTCTCTTCTTGTTGACTTGGAGGAGCAAAGCCAAGAGAGCAGAGCCCAGGAGATGCAAGAGACTGAGCTCGCTCAGGTTTTTTTCAAAGCTCACAGGTAACTTTGGGGAGACTCTTTCTCACCCCTACTCCCATCCCCACCCCAAAAAACATTCTAACCTCTCAGTCCTGGAAGCCAAATCACAAATTTCAGAATACAGTCCTTGAAACAGTCTCATACCTGACACAGGCAGTTTTAAAATAGTTTTAATTCTGTTGTTATTTAATGCCATTTTAATCTTATATGTGTTTTATTGCAATTTTGCTGCCTTTTTGTAAGCCGCCTTGAATCCCTGTCTGTGAGAAGGGTGGGATATAAATAAAGGGATGGCTAGATGGATGGATTGGGATGCCAAATCCTACCTCATGACCCCATCTTGGTTTGGAGCTGATGTTTGCTTTTCCCCCTTCCTCAGTGCCTTGGTGTTGGCGTACCAAAACGCTCGCAAGAAGCAAGAAGCACAGGTCAGTATTAAGGGCATCATGCTCTGCAAATGTAATTCTTCAACACAGTTTCAAAATTCCATTTTTTAAAAGTCTTCTCTCCACTGTGAGAAACATCAAAAATTTAACATATTTTCTGATTCCTGCCTGCCATCCTTCCCTCTTTCTTTCTTTCTTTCTTGGCTTTGTGAATTAATATTTTTGAGAAGAGGAGATCTGCACACACACACACACACACAAAAAAAGAGATTTGTGTGTTTTTAGAAAACTATCTGTGTAGTTAGTTCCCTGTTGCATTTTCATAAAAAGGCTCCCAAATGAAAAAAATGTGGGGTGGTGGATATTTTTTAAAATGGTGATTCCGCAATTGTCCTTATTTGGCTGGGACAGTCCTGATTAATCCCCTGCCATCCCATTTTTCAGCTGCTTTAGAAATGTCCCGGTTTCTCTCTCTTCCTATTTTCCCCCTTTGTCCTCAGCTTACTTCAATTGCTGCAAACAGTTCAAGATGCAAAATTCGATGCATTCAGTCGAGTGATTGGAGAGGAGCGGACAGAGTCTTGCCCTTCCCAGTTGGCTCAGGAAAAAGCAAACTGTTGCAGCCTCTTTCTGTTCATCTGTTCTTCATGAATAACTTTGCTTGGCCACACATATCCTTGTCTTTTTTCTGTAAAATATTGGAGTGTATGTTATCTCAGTTTATTGAGGTATCCTTTCTTGTCAGCGATGAACAAGCAATTGCAATGGTTCTTTACATCTCTGCAGATCTATCAGCTGGAGAGTCAAATGACCTTGATGGGCCAGCGTCAAACTGGGCAGCTGCGGATCCTGATGCAAACCCTCCAGAGGTTGGAGGGCAGAGTGGGTGGCCTGGCAGAGGTCTCCCGTGTGGGTCCAGACTCCTCCTTCTGCCCCTTCCCCAAAGAGTAAAGCACCTGGATCCATTGGTCCCTTGGACTGGGTGTGTACCCCATTTTCTAAGGGTCACAAATGGGTGAGGAGGGCAAGAGGTTGAGAAACCAAAATCCCCATGAGGAACAGCTTTGGGAGCTAGGTATGTTGAACTTGGAGAAGAAACGATGGAAAGGGCTGAGATGACAGCCATCTTCCAACTCTTTGAAGGGATGTCACAGAGAAGACAGAGCAAGGCTGTCTTCTGCTGCTCCAGAGATTACAATGAGGACCAGTGGAAATACAGAGGTTTCACGAAAAATTAAGACTTCTTCACCATAAAAGCTGTTCAACAGTGGAACAGACTGCTTCAGAGGGCGAAGGAGTCCCCCTCATGGAAAGTTGCTTGGTCACACATGTCCTGGCTTTTATCCACGGAAAGCTGGAAAGTATGCTAGTGTAATTCATTTAAGACTGGCATTATATGGCAAAGTGGTTTGAGTGTTGGACTATGACTTTGGAGACCAGAGTTTGAATCCCTGTTGTGCCGTGGAAACCCACTGGGTGACCTTGGGCAAGACACATGCTCTCAGCTTCAGAGGAAGGCAATGGCAACCCTTTTCTGAAAGCCCTGTGATAGGGTCTCCTTAGGGTTTGTCATAGGTCAAAAACGACTTGAAGGCATGCAACAACAACATTGGTATCCCAGTCAGCAGTCAAACCTGAAAGGGGTCATTGTTTTAATGGTGTCAAGTGTAGAAAGCTTAGACTGCAGTTCCATGTAGATTTTGTGGCAAAAACAGGCCTCTCTGGGATAAAACCACCCCTCATCATGGTTCAGAAAAGGTTAAAATCTATTGATGAATGCAGTTCTTTTTATCACCACAGGAGGGGGCCTTTACACAAAGCAAGCAAAGTCATTTATTTCCAAAGGAGGAATACAGGAAGGTCTCTTGCCACAAGATGCCATTCTTTGCTAATTTTGTTCTCGAAGAAAGCAATGAGGAGGATATTTAGCAATTTTCCTCCTGCTGCCATAAAGTAATGAAGTCTTATTCTTTGCAAACTCTGCATGTCTCAGAGGGAGGCAATGGCAAACCTCCTCTGAATAAATCCTGCCAAGGAAAGCCCTGGAATGAGGTCTTCCTTCCTCTTTTCCTATTGCCCCTCACTTTACCAAGCATTATTGTCTTTTCTAGGTAATCCTTTCTTCTCAGGATATATCCAAAATACGACAGCCTCAGTGGAGTCATCTTGGCTTCTAGGAAGAATTCAGGCTTGATTTTGCTCTCGGGGCCATCTGTTTATCCTTTTTAGCAGTGGTAGTGTCCCCATAAATCGGATATCACCATTTACGTAAGTTGAAGGCATATCAAGGCTAATGGAAAAAATAACAATATTCTCACTGGGACTAAACTGGTGGTTTTAGTGTGATACCATAAATGTCCTCTCTTCCTAGCCTTTTTCCCCTGGCAGGTTCAAAGGTGAAAGCGGGAGGCTTGATAAATAGGCTTCGGACAACAGAGCCAGTGTGACCCACCCTGCAATGGGGCAGTTTGCCCAACAAACCCCAGGCCCTTCCTCCCTTCCTCCCTCCTTAACTCTGTCTGTTTTCCTTCTCCTCCCCCCAAAAAAGCCAGCCTTTTTTCTTTTTTCAAATGTTAATTTAAAGAAGCAAGACCGTCTGCTGCCAAAGGAGTAAAGAAGAAAGGAGTTCATAAGAGGAAGGTATCCCAAGGCAAACCAAAAAGTAAGCATGAATTGTGTCCACCACAGCAGGCTTTTTTACACTAGAAAAAAAAAACAACACGTGGAGGAATGTTCCCCCCATTTCACTGATCTGAATTTTTAATGTTTCCAAAAGCATTTCCTGTCCTAGCCGTGAGGTTTAGCCTTCCTGGCATCTCTGAACATCAGCTCTTCTCGAACCCAACATTTGTCCTCCGCTTTGGTCCTTTTCCCTAAACGGAAAGGAAGCTCCCAGTCCATCAGCTCCAAATAAAGAACACGGAAAGGCACCTGTAAAGCAGATGTGATTATTGGTTCATCAAACCTGGTTTGCTAAACTTGGTTTGGGGAATAATAGGCCATTCCGAATGGTGTTGGACGCCAGCTCCCAGCATCCCTTGGACCAGGGGTGCTGGTACTTGTCGAAGCTGGCACCGAAAAAAGAGGTTTCCTGCACAAAAAGCAGCATTTTATCCTCAGAGAATAACATTTCTGATAAATAAAAACCACGTGCATTTTTGTTTTGCACAGAATATGTCTTGAGCTGAGAATAGTCTTCAAAAACTGAGCAGCTGTTTGATAACTTGAGGAGGAAAATGGTAAAATCATTCATTCCTGTCCATGAAAATGAAATTTCCATCCTTGGTCCCGGATGCAAGAATTTCCATCTTTGGTCTTAGTCCTACCTGGAGTAACTGAACCTGAGACCTTCCTTCTGCAAAATGTCTGCTATACCACCAAGTTGCTAAACCCAAAGCAAGCTGCTAGTCCTCATGGCTCTGAAATGAGGGCCAGATTAGGAATTACACTGAAAATTGTATTGCAGCCAGTGTCTCTGTCGTGTCTACCTGCCTGGGTTTTCACCCTTCTGACCCTGTCAAATATTTTAGTGCTGTCTTGCGGAGTCACCTGCCAGCCCCAGAGTTGAACGTTTCATTAAGGAAATCAATAAATGGGTCTCCCCTGGGTCAACCTTTCATTGCAAAGGGGTTGATTTGGAGGCCTCTCAAGGAAGGACGCCTCTCTCTCCTCCAGCTCTGGCTTGCCCTCTTGACATGTTTTGCGTACCTTTTCAGAAGTGAAAGCTGAGACTCGTATAGCCTAGCAACATCTGAGTGTGGTCAAGATGGGGAGAGTTATTAATGAGGAAGAACACAGACAAGGTAGGAGAGGCTGCAGCGGTTTGCTTTTGCCCAAACCAATGGAAGGAAGGACAAAATTCTGCTCCCTGCCGGAATCTGGGTCGAGACGGGGATATAACCCTAGGAAATGTATGCCAAGTACATCTGTTTTAATGCCCTCCTTTTTAAAGTCCTTGGGGGGATTTGGAGGAAGATAAAATGCCAGCTAATAATTAGAAACCTCTAATGATATCTCAAGTAAGGAGGACGTTGCCCAAGCAAACCCTTTCTAGCAAACAGCTTTCAAAAGCAACAGCGAAGCGAGATGTTTTGCTAGCTGGGCAGATTTGCATATATTTGACATTTTACATGTTTAACCAAGCTGGACCTGTACGTCTCCTCTATATGTGAATATTATAGATGGAATTTGTGGGTCAGAGAGGTGCGAGGCAGACGGAGTCATTGGCATGAGTAAAATCTAGATTTTTGACTGCAAGCCCTGTTCCCTTATTGGGGAGTAAGCCTCTTTACCCTCTTTTCAGAGTGTGAGTAGCTACAACTAAGATGGCATGCAGTCTGACTGTCCCAAGTACTCCTCCGTTGTCCCACTTTATAATGTCCCGGTTTCTTTCTCCTCCTCCCACTTTCCTCATTTACTTACATCAGTTGCTGCAAATAAAACTTGTCGATCTGACTTGGATAAACATAGGTTGTCTGTCTGTCTGTCTGTCCATCTGACCCTGGGCAAGTCACTCTTGCTCAGCCTCGGAGGATGGCAATCAGAAGAAACTTGCCTGTGATAGGTTTGCCTTACCTTAGGATTGCCATAAGTTAGAGATGACTTGAAGGACACACCAACAACAACAGCAATACAGAGAGAGAGAGAGAGAGAGAGACATATACATATACATATAGATATGCATATGCATATGCATATACATACACACACATATGTACATATATAGTGGTTAACTGCATCCTTCTGGGATCCAGGGGAAACTTGGGAAAAGTCTTGTTGGTTTGCTTTTTACTCACTTCCGTCCAAACACACACACACACACACACACACACACACACACACACACAGATCCTGCACAGACGTATAATAATAATACATGGGCCGAGTGTTTGGATGGAGATCTGGGTGGGGGACAAGGGCCTGTTGTCCCAAGGCCCCCCTCCCCTGCCCTCTGTTTCCCCAGAAATCCATCTTCCGGGAGCAACTGCCTCAGGACAAAAAGGCTATTAATTTTCCTTCCTCCAAACATGCTTTGATGCTTTTCACGGTCACCAGGACCAGGGGCTAAGTGTCAAAGGGCAGCTGATCCCAGCTTGGCGTGGCTTTCAGATGGAAATGTGGGCAGGCGAGCGTGTGTGCATGTGTGCGCTTTGTGTGTCTGTGTATTTACCACTAAAAATGGAGCACACAGCAACTCCCTTGTTGTTGCAGCAGCTCCACTGGCTGCCAGTCCATTTCTTGGCACAATTCAAAAGTGTTGGTGGTGACCTTTAAAGCCCTACATGGCTCAGGGCCAGGCTATTTGAAGGACCATAGTCTACCATTTCAGGCATGGATGGACCTTAGGTGAGTCACACACTCTCAGCCCCAGAAAACCCCACGATAGGTTTGCCTTAGGGCTGCCCTAAGCTGGAAATGACTTGAAGGCACACAACATTAACAACACATTCTACCGTTAAGATCCTGTTGTGTTTGGAGACTTTTTGGGAAGGCCTCTCTCTCTGTCCCATCATCCTCGCAGGCTCACCTGGTAGAGTTATCCATAGGGACTCTGAGCATCCATCCCATTTTCTATTTTTGTTTTGTTTCCTTCCTTCCTTTTCCCCCTTTTTGTCTCTTCCCTTCCCTTCTCCAGACAGTATCAAGCGTTTTGAACCAATATATTGATCGAGACCCTTCTCCATTTCCCAGCGGCCGGTCTGTCTGTCTGACCACCGTTTCTCATTATCTCTCTGCCCAAGCCATCCTCCCCAAGGAATTGCCTCTCCTCTGGTTCAGACACCAGATTTCTTCCATGGGGGAACGGAAGAGGAAACTTGGCCTGCTCAGGGTTCAAGAAAGGAGGGCTTAGTGAATTTAAAACAGCAATTTATTGAACATCAAGGCGGTCTAGGTTTCAGCATTCCAGCTGAGCCGTCTGAAATGAAAGGGAAAGGTTCAATCTTAATAGCTTTTCCTTGGTGTTTACCTGGTCATTTTCCATTTCCCTAAAACCAGAGGGTTGTAGTGGTTTGAGTATTGGACTCTGATTCTGAAAGCCAGGGTTCGAATCCCTGCTCAGACTGGCTGACCTTGGGCAAGTCACACTCTCTCAACTTCAGAGGAAGGCAAGAGCTGTTTAACAGTGGAGCAGATTTATCTTGGAGGGTGGTAGCTGCTCATTATTTGGAGGTCTTGAAGCAAATGTTGGCTGGGCCTCTTTCAGGAGTGCTTGAGTTGTGTGGCAGACGGAGGCTGGACTATGTATCCCTTTCAACTCTAGGATGTTATGATTGTCAGCTTTCTTGGCGTACCTTCCCTCTTTTAGACAACTATTTGTGGCAAGAGCCATCTCCAGTGTCCCTGTGTTTATGTTGTATGGATTATATAGTCCATTTCTGAGGGAGACGTAGCTACGCAAGAGTCTTGGGGGTGCAATTTCCTGGGTCATTTTTTTGGGGGGGGGCTTGAGACCCTCCTCCTCCTCTTCCTCCTGTTTTGGGGTCCAGGTGGGACTGATCTTCCCCCCAGCCGGCTTGGCTGTTCCTGAGCTCTCCTTCCCCGTCCGTCCGTCCGTCCGTCCGTCCGTCTTCTCTCTGGGTTTCCCAGGGGAAGGTGTCCTGGCTCCCAGTGACAGCCGGGATGGAGGGGCTGACCCACAGGTTGAAGGTCAGTGCTCTTTCCCCGAGACCCCCTTTCAGATTCAAATTGGGGCTGAGGGGGCTTTGTGCAGAGAGGTCAAGCTTCACCGAGAGCAGGATGAAAAGGCCGGAGGTTGACAAGAGGAGGAGGAGGAGGAGGAGACATTTTTTAAAAATAATCAAAATAACCCTCCTTTTTCCTTCGCTCTGGTCCCTCTCTGGGCCTGGCCTGAAGAAGCAGAATACGTGTGTCACGGTCTGCAGACAATAAAGGTCATTTATATAGTCCCAGATCTTTTATCCTTGTCCTTTCTGTACCTCCCTGCTCCCCATACACACAGTCTCCCCAGTTGCAATGGGTTGGGTCAGTGGGATTTGTGGGTTTTGGATGGGAGAAGAATCAAACTTGACACCCGGTAGTTTGAGGAAACTGATATTCCAGACTAACACTGCTATAAGTCTTTGAATTCTACCATCTAGAAGCAGTGTTGTCTGCAGCAAGAGAAGTAAGCTGAGGTCGAGGGTGGGAGACAGAGAAACTGGGACATTTTAAAAGTGGAAAGCTGAAAGATGACGGGAGATGAATTGGGACTGTCCCTGTCAAAATTGGGACAATCGCAGGGTGACCAGACACCCTCCTTTTCCAGGACATGTCCTACATTTCCACCTCCTGTCCAGGAGGAATTCCAAAATGCCTTCCATTTTGAGCACGACTAAGAAACATGCATTCATATTTCTGTGACTGTTTTGAGTTTTTATTTCAGGGGTAGGCCCCAGGCCGGTCCTGCCACCGCCGCCCCCCGCCATAATGATATTGATTATTGTTGTTATTACTTGTTCTTGAGGTTTTCTTGGCAAAATCTCCATAAGGATTTTGCCATGGCTTTTCTGGGGCTGAAAGAGCGTGCATGCATATATTTTTTATTTTGATTTATTTTTGCTTTATTTATTTATTTATTTATTTATTTTTGGTGCTTCGGCCCCCCAATTGTCTGAGGGACAGCAACCCGGCCTCCAACTCAAAAAGGTTGCCTACCCCTGTATTTATTTGGTCATGTCCTCCATTTTTCTTGATTATATATATATATATATATATATATATATATATATATATATAGCGTTTTTCAGTGCCTTGTCCTCCTTCGCAGTGAGGACTTCTGGACCCTGGAGGATATGCAACTGATATTAGATAGCCTCTGATGCTGACAGTGACCTTGTAGGGGGACTACAGTACCCAGAATCCCCCCAATACAGCTGGGAATGGATTCTGGTAGTTGTATTCCACCCAAACGATGCACTTTCTTCTAGCAATGGTTTTCAGGGTTGGCTCAACCCCACTGATTCTCCGTTTTGCAGACTCGGCGTGGGTCTCTCCTTCCTTCCTTCCTTCCTCCCCCTGCTCACTCCAGAGACCCCCTCCAAACAGATGTTTCTCCACATCTGTCTGTGCTGGTGGACCTGCCCCTGAGATGATGAGCAAAGCTTTCCTCATCTGCCTCCTCTCTTGCCTTTCAGCCCCGCTGCTGCTGCTGCTGCGTTCCAGGGCCCACCAAGGTCAGATGTTCCCTTGGCCTCCGGGGTCAAGAGAGCAGAGGTCTCCGCGTGTGACGGAAGGGGCACAGGCCCTGGGAGAGGCGGGGGTCCTGCCCCCAAGACACAGAAAGTGTCTCAGGAAGTGTTGCAGAGGATGCCTGGGTTTTCTGGCCAGGCTACATACAGCTCTGGCCCACCAGAAATAGGGTTTCTCAACACAGGCAAACTGCAAAAGCTACTCTTCCTTCTCCATATCCTTGTCACTGTTCTCCCTCTGCAAATGGAGAGCTCTAACCACTGAGCAATAGTTGCCTGCCCATGCAGTCAGAGGAACAGGTAACTGAGCAAGTTGCATTTCTGGATTGCAGTTACAGAAACAACTCGCTGGACGGTCAGGAGAAATGAGTCACAAGTAACTCAGAAATTTTCCTGTATGGATTGCAGCAACAAATAATGAGCTCTTGGATGGTCAGAATAAAGAGCAACAGATAATTCAATAAGTTACTTTTATGAATTGCAGTAACAGGAAAAAGTTGAGCATTTGGGTGGCTGTAGTAATAAGTAACATGTTGAATTACTTTTCTGAACTGAAGCACCAGAAACACAAGTCATGACCTCTTGAGTGGTCACAGCCATGAGTAACTTGGTGAACATGGAACACAGTAACCGTAGCAAGTAATTACTGGTTGAGTGGTCCAAGTAATGAGTAATTAATCGAATTACTGGATTGCAATAACAGTAATGTGCCACGACCTGTTTGAGGGTCAGAGTAACAAGAAACCTGGCGGCTTAACTGCGGCAATAGTAAAAAGCCAGTTGAGTTTTCTAAATGAGTTACTTCTCTGGATTGCAGTAATAGTACCAAACATCCGGACAGAATAACTTTCAAAAAGTTACATGCCCAGGTCTGTTTTCCCTTCAGAAGAGCCTCACCCAGAGCCTACCTGGAATCAATCCAGGACCCAGCCAAGAGAGACAGACGGTCAACCAGGACCAGGCTGGAAGTTTCCAAGAGGACATGAGGAAGGTTATTTCTACCAGGACCTCTTCCAAATTCCAGCATCCCTTCCCTCCCCGAAAAGGAAGGCCATTAAATCCTGTTTGTTCATGCATGAAGGAATGAAGAAGAAGGCTGGAGCCCCCGGAGACTTTCGGGGGGGGGGGTTCGGTTGGAAGGAGGGAGGGAAGGCCGCAGAGAAGTCAAAATAACAACGAAAAGAGAGAGGCCAAATTGTCTTCCAAGAAAGAGCCCTGAGTTCATAATGATGAAGTCTGGCATCTCTTCCAGAAAAGCCTAACGGAGTCAAGAAACCCAGGAGACTTGGAAAGGCAGCAATGGAGGATCTTCCAATGCAAAGTTACTACATCCTTCTATACCAAAGCTGAGATTGTCCCTGCCCTTGCATTTCTGATTTCTATCTTGTGAAGAAAGCTGGACGTTGAACCCAAGCGGACGGGAAGACAGTCTACTCTTTGGGAACAAGGGGCCGGAGGGAGGAGAGTCCAAAGGATACTCTGAGTCCAAGAAACCAAAATGACCAAAGCTAGACTTGGTTGCATTTTGGAGGATGTCTCCTTAGATGGCCTGGCTTCTTGAAAATGGTTGGAAAAGCAGAAGGCAGAAAGGAGAGAGGGATTGAATAAAGCCAGCCGTGGCCGCTGCCCTGACTTTGCAAGACCTGAGCTGGACTGTGGGGGACCAAGGGGGCTCTTGCGGGACTCTTCTTCCCCAGAAGTTGAAGCCAAAGCTGACCGCACAGAACAACAACTTCTAAACTTGTGCCACAACCTCCGCAGAATGCGATGGGTCTCCGAGTGCCTCCCGGCCGAGGGTGACCCCATGGATTTTGTAGGGTTTTCTTAGGCAAGGAAGACTCAGAGGTGGTTTGCCAGCTCTCCTTCCTCCGAAAGAGTCTCCAGCATCTGATAAGAGTATCATTATATAGTTGTCGTTGTCGTTGTTGTGTGCCTCGAAGTCCTTTCTGACTAATGGAGACCTGAAACAGGTCTTCTTAGTAAGATTTGTTCAGAGGTTTTTTGTTTTGTTTTTGGCCTTTGCTTTCCTCTAAGGCTGAGAGAGTGTGACTCTCCCAAGGTCACCCAGTGGGTTTCCGTGGTCGAACGGGGATTCGAACCCTGCCCAACATAGCCTAGTGCTCAAACCACTACACCACACTGCCTCTCTGTAGAATAATTGTAATATAGACAATAGCAATCTGTCGTTAAATAGAGGATGAGGGTAATAATATCATTTGATAGAAAACAGTAAAAATATATTTCTGTGTAGAGGAAGAAGAAGAAGATGATGATGATGATGCCTTTGTGCAGAGGCATTATTATTATTATTATTATTATTATTATTATTATTATTATTATCCCCTCACAACTATCCAAAGAAAGATGGAAGTGGGAGCTGGACTTTATTCTTCCCATCTCTCTCTCTTCCTCAGACTATCACAGAAGACACCAACACACAGACGACACCAACACAAAAACACATCCAAGAATGGTGTGAATCAGGCTCCCTTCCTCTTTTGTTCCCCGGTTATTGCAGGAGAGGCTGCAGGAGTTTGCTTTTGCCTTTTGCTTTTGGAGGACAAGACTTTGCCTCCCCTCTCCTCTCACTCCTGAGAGCAAGCTACTTCTGAACTTGGGACAGAGTTTGCAGCAGTTGAAATAAGCTGAGGACCAAGGAGAGAGAAACCGGGACATTTTAAAAGCAGCTGAGAAAGTGGGAAGGCACAGGATTCATCGGGACGGTCCCTGCCCAATTGGGAGAGTTGGAGGACATGCACCTTTGAATATTATAGGACAAGGGGGAGAAACTGGTGCTTATCATGCAGACTAGATTTGTGTGGACCCCAGATAATGCCATGGGGCTACCCACCGACCGGAGCATTCCTCAGCGCTG